GAAAAGAACTAATTATGAGAGAGAAAATTATCATGTTCAATATGTTCTTATTTTCTCGGCATATGAGAAAGAAATTTTGGCCGCTCAATGGTTACCCGGCTTATATATTATTCTTAAAAGCACTCTACATATGAGATAGACAATTATTCCGCTCAATTGTTAGTCGGCTTATCGTATACCTAAAAATACTCTATATGAGAGAGAAAACTCTTACACATCCTCCAAGAATGTGTTATGATTCACCTAATAACAATTTTATTTCACTGTTTTCCACATCTTCATTACTTAATTACATAATTCCATTGTAATTAACTTTAATTTATGCCATTAGATTGTTAGTTCTTTGAGTTTTTTTTCATACGGAGTATATCTTTTCAATTGCACGAATTTCTACTATGCAGGTTTATTATTATGAATAGTGTGAATTTTTTATTCACAAGTTTATTTTCATTTGACTTCTCATTGCAGTTGGTAATCTACTATAGTGCTTCTTTCATGGTCCATTGATTTCTGAATAAATAAATTCTTTGTAAGAACAATAAGATTTCATCATTTATTGGTAAATCAAGTCTGATTATCTCTCACCTAAAACTATGATACTATAAACATGGTTAAAAACATTTAAGTCAAAAGAAAATAAGACTATCTCTTTCACGATAGTAAAAGAGATCTTTTAATTATAGAGATCTTTTAAGGAGTAATATTTGATTAATAGAGGGTGCTCATAAGACTATCTCGTTTGTATGTGCATAATTGGAAGTCCACAATAGTAACTAAATTCAAGTATATTTATATTGTTGAGTCACTTGCATATTAAAAAAATATTATTTAGGAATCATCTAAAACTCTTTCATAGGTCTATCTCATTCTTTATACTTTTAAAGGTGATTTGATTCACCGAAAACAACAACAACAACTACTACTACTACGACAACAACAACAATAACAATAACAACAACAATAATACTCCCTTCGTCCCATAAAATTCTTCCCGATTTGACATGGATCGAAGTTTAAGAATGTGTGAATAAAGTGAAAATGTGAGGTTGTGGTTGAGTAAAAAAAAAGGTAAATGAATCTTAGCCAATTGCTATATTAGGAATCATCTGACACTCTTTTGTAAGTCTATCTCGATTGTATGTACAAAATTGGAAGTTCGCAATAATAACCAAATTCAAGTTTATTTATATTTTTGAGTCATTTACATATTATAAAGATATTATTTCAACATGTTCATTTTTAATGAAAATGATTCCTTAATGAAATGTGATTTTTTAAGATTCTCATTTTTTTACGTTTAAAAGGTCATTTTTTTCAAAAAAGACCCTTTTATTAGCCAATGATCTATTGTTACTTCCATGTTCTAATTTTGATATTTAAAACCAGTTTAGTAACATTGAAATTAGCTAAATTTTCCGATTCTTTTGAAATTGATGAATTTTTGACAGAAGTGGTTGAATTTGTTGAATATATTGATTTATGGATGAATTTAATTTAAATTATATTTCATTAATGAAGTAAATAAAAAATTATATGAGAAGTAGTTAAAATGATTCTGTACAGTAACTTCAGTCGAATTTGTCAAAAACAATATCAATAAAGAGAAACTTAAATAGATCAAAGCAGTTTGAAATAAACCAAAAATGATAAATCGATATTTTCATATTTGCCCCTTTTTTCTTAAAAATAAAGAATTATAATCGTAGGGTTGATGAATTCAAATTACTCATTGTCTTCTATTTAGACCAACTCAAAACAAATCTAAATAGACCAACTCAAATCATAAAATACTTTAAGAAAGTTTTCTTAAATAAATTTAGTATTTTTAGATTTTTCCCTTTCGTAGTCTAATTTTGATTTTAGAGACCGTTTAGTAGTACTGAATTTTGTTGAATGTGTTGAAATGGATGAAATTTCGATAAAAGTTGTTGAATTAGTTGAATCTATTGATTTATAGATAAATCTAATTTAAAATACTTTTATTAATGAAGTAAAGAAAAATATTATATAAAAAGTAGCTAACAATGAATAGTTACAGTAACTTCATCCAATTCAGACAGCAAAATAGATTATAAAATGCATATAGATAATTTCAAGCGTAATTATAGAGACTGTTGATAAAAAATATTTTTACATATTCAATATTGATCTCATATGAAAGATCACAAAAAGTTATGAATTTTGATATATTTTTTTGTAAAAATTTGAACAAAAATGAAAAAGTTATACTCGTAGCAGTTTAAAGAAAAATTGAGATTTTTTATAGTTTGGATCCCACCAATGCATCTCTACGGCTGCTCCTTCCTATTCCATGGAGAGTCTTGTACATTGAAGCAAAATTGGACACGTGGCATGGCTAGAGCAAAAGAGTGAATTAAGGAGAGCTTGACACATAGGATTCATTAAGGGTAAAATTGTCTTTAAATGAGCTATTTCTTTTCTTAGATATAATAAATAGAATAGATGATCATATATAAAAAAAATTCCATTGTAGTAAAGTAAAAAACCATATGGCTCAAACACATGGCTTAAATAGTCCCTCCATAAATATAAATTCAAATTAAACCCGATACAATCGTACACAACAACAAATAAGGCTGATTAACGATTTTTAATTCGTCCTACAACATTATATATAAGAGCATCTTCAATGGTAAAATGTGCACGGTACACATGTAGCATGAGAGATAGCCACATAAATATTAGTAAATTAATTCTTTCTCTCCTTGTTTGAATGATTCTATTCAGTTTTGGTAAGTTTTTCTCCACAATGTCAAGGGGACCGTCTAAATGTTGACATTGCAGGGCAAAACATACCATAATTGTATAAAGTCATTCAAACAAGGAGAGATATAATTTATTTGCTAATATTTATGTGACTGTCTCTCATGCCACATGTGCACCGTGCACATTCTACCATTGGAGATGCTCTAACACATTGACCACTGTATAGTCCACGTCATTTGTTTATACACGTAAGACATTACATTAATATATCATTCTCATTTTGTTGTCACAAATAGCAATCAGACATATAAAATGTGCACGGTACATATGTGGCATGAGAGATAGCCACATAAATATTAGTGACAACAAAATGAGAATGATATATTAATGTAATTTCTTACGTGTATAAACAAATGACGTGGACTATACAGTGGTCAATGTGTTAGAGCATCTCCAATGGTAGAATGTGCACGGTGCACATGTGGCATGAGAGACAGTCACATAAATATTAGCAAATAAATTATTTCTCTCCTTATTTGAATGACTTTATACAATTTTGGTATGTTTTTCCCTGCAATGTCAACTGCAATGTCAACATTTAGACGGTCCCCTTGACATTGTGGAGAAAAACTTACCAAAACTGAATAGAATCATTCAAATAAGGAGAGAAAGAATTAATTTACTAATATTTATGTGGCTATATCTCATGCCACATGTGTACCGTGCACATTTTACCATTGGAGATGCTCTAAGACAGCCAATCAAATCGAGGCAGCACAGAATCCACATTCTTACGTCTTTGACCGTCAAATAGAGAACAACTTTTTTCAAGTTCATCAATCACGGCCTCACGGGTGGGTAAACGGAACCGCCACCATTAGAGCATCTCCAATGTTGTCTTACACACTCTTATGAATGAGTCCCATTTTTTATCTCACAAATTTTATGTGTATATATCTCCATATTTATTTTCATTTTCATTTTTTATATCACTTCTAATCCACTTTTCATCCACTTTTGCTCCTCGATTCCCGTGTAATGTCTATTTGTGGACATTGTCATAGACATTGTCTACAATTTACTCCTATCTCTATCTTCCTTTTTATTTTTCCATACACACCACTTTCTCCATATTAAATTAAAATAATCATCTTATCTCTATCTCTCTCCTATGCCACGTAGGATAGACTTTACTCCAATCCACTACCCATTGGAGATGCTCTTATTAGCGTGATTTGCTTTGTTATTTGAGTTCTCCATTTGAGTAATTAATCTCCAACCCATATTCTCAACCTTATTTCGATTAATATTTTGACGAAGCATATAATTTTTAGTTTTATTACTAACCGCATTAAATTAGCACCGAGTAATAACTAATACTCTCTTCGTCCCGCTATTAACTTCCTACTTTGACCTACACACATATTTAGAAAATAAATTTGACTTTACTGTTTAGACACTGTTTGGCACTGTTTAGACACTGTTTGACACTGTTTTGATGTAGGATAACTTTCCATTTAGGAAAACGAGAAGATGATTTTGGGACGGTCCAAAAAGGAAAGCAGATAGTTAATAGCGGGACGGAGGGAGTACACGTTATCAACTCTCAATATATTTTAAAAGTGAGTCTCTCTCTAAAAAGTTGGCGACTCCATAACCATTCTTACAAGTTAATTTTTTGAGTAATTAATATGTTAAATAGTTAATTGAAATCCAACTGTAAAGCTACAGTATTGAAATGCAGGGGTAAAACCCGAACACTTGTTTTGTTAATTTTAAGAAATATTTAATTTTCTCAAGTTTATATTTTGTTAATATTTCCTATTTCTTAATTATAACTTCTTAATTAACAGTACATATTTTTGTATTTATTTTAAAATATGCATGTTTATATTACTAATTGATAGATAATAGAATTAGTCAAATATATTATCTCTTGTATTTATCTCTTATATTTATCTCTTGTATTTATCCCTTCAATTTCTCCTCATAGTTGTAACCAACTACTGTACCACTCTTGTATGTAAACACATGTACACCTACGGCATACTTTTAAAAAAAAATTAAAAATTATGTTTTAAATTTTCTTTAAAAAGTTTATTTAAAAAGTTTATTTTTAAAAAAATTGTGGAATTAACAGACTAGAATAAAAGTAATAAAGAGACTAGAATACACATTTAAATTCATAAACAGACTGAAATAAAAGTAATAAACAGAATAGAATTATAGTATAAATAAACAATGTTCAATGTAAATTAAAATTGCATTTACAAGCTCCTCCGGCCATTATGATAGTATCTAGATTCATCATACTCTAGATAATCTTCTTCGGTCCCGTCTTCTTCTCGGTTGCCTCCGCGGTTGCCTCCACCTTGGCCTCCGCGACTGCCTCCTCCACGACTGCCTCCTCCTTGGCTGCCTCCTCCTTGGCTGCCTCCAAATGTTTGAAACAGGTTATGAAAATTGATATCCTGAAAAGATCAATATATATGAAGGCAACCCGGACACAGAGTTGGAATGGACATAACCGCCCATCAGCGGAACTTGAGGAGTCTGCTCAGGGTGCAGTATATACGGCTGAGGCTGAGGCTGAGACCGAATTCCGGTGTTGAGGATCCGTTCCATCGCTTCCAGTCGGGCTCTTGTTTCTTCGTCCTTCTATCGCTGTTCCTCTAAGGCGCGCTGCTGCTCCTCCAATTCCCGCTGCATTTGAGCGATATATGGATCCTCTCCCCGCCTTGATCGAGAAGATGAAGCGTCGCTGCGATCGTACAAAATCTGTTGCCCCTCAGCCCCCATGCACGGAACCCGGCCCTTGTACACCCCAGCTGCCTCAACGATGGCATCATCTTCCGCATCAGAATCGAGCTCATCCTCGTCGGTCAAGCCTCGTTCCGCACGCTTCTTCTCAACGGTTGTGTTATACTTCGTCTACATGTACAAAAATTGTTGAAATGTTACTCAATTCGATTTCGAATGGTACTAAGTAACAAATAGATGTTACTTACTTCGTTTCAGCAAGGCGGGGTGGAAGATCGGCATCCGACTCATCGTCGTGCTTCGTCCAGCAGTGCTTGATGACCTTGAGAATCGAGACCTTCTTCTTAGGCCCCGCCTACATAGTTCGAAAAAAGGCTTAAGATCCATAAATAAATGTAAAAATGAAGGGTTGTAATGATGTACAAGATCTTCTTTATGTTTACTCTGAGGTTTGCGGTCTCCGTGCCATTGTGTCTCCAAGGCCTTCTTGGACATCCGGTTTTTCTTACCGGATTCGCTTCTTGCCAAGAAGTTTGGATCAGAAGACCAGTGGCGGACGAGGTTAGCCCACACCTCATCCGAACACCATCCAGGCTTTACCCCGCTCGCTCGGGCACGCCTAAAAGTAGGACGAAGCCAGTTTGAAATCCTAGCGTTATACGCTCTAAGAATAGCGGGACCTTGTGTTTCAGTCCATCGAAACCGGCCCTTTATTAAAAACAAATAAATTAATTTATCTTTTATCAAATGTTAAGTTAATACAATTACGCAGAGAAAATTCATTTATTTTTACCTTGAACAGGTTCCACCAAAGTTCACGAACCTTGGGGTCAACTTCCGTGTAGGTTGCCCAGTTCCCAAGAAAGTGTCCTCCAATTATGAGTTTGATTTGGTTCAACACTTCTTGATCGCTTCAAAAAATTAATAATATTTATTTATAGAAGTTTTGATTACATTATGATACATTGAAAAAATTATTTGACGTTAGATAAAATTCATAGTTACTTACTTTGCAACCATGTGAGGTGTCACCCAAAGCGCATTTTCATTGTTGCGCTCAGCTTCGGTTAAGGGCACATAGTTTGGGCGAGCACGCAAGGTTGATTGTTCATTGCTCATCTAAAATATATTAATTTATATTTTTAAATGTTAGTGTGATTATAATAGAAGATCAAATTTTTATACAAGTTTTATCAATTGAAAATGTGTATAACATATTAAACTGTGTGTAAGTTTAATATGAGGGGTGGTAATTTTATGAATTAATTTTTTTATAACTTTAAAATAAATTGCTCTTAAAGGTAACATGTTAAACTTTTTGGCAAGTTTACATGAGGGAACATAATTTATTTTGATAATTTAGTTATATGAGTTTTTTTTGACTTTTTATAAGGAAGTTATAAAATTTATTTTAATTCATTTTTTAACTTTACTTCATTTTTGTATTAAAATCAGTTTTTTCTAAAGTTATTAACTTAACACCTCATTTTTTGTACTCTTTTTTAACTTTATGTATTTATAAAAACAGTTTTATATAAACAACAATTTTATCTATAAAAAAAATTATCTAAAAACAGTTTTATAAAACTGGTTTTATATCAATACAGTTTTTTATAAACAGTTTTACAAAAAATTGTTTTATAAAACAGTTTTATATAAAAACAGTTTTGTATATAAACAGTTTTATATAATAAAAAGTTTTATAAAAAACAGTTTTATATACAAAAGGTTTTATACAAACAGTTTTATATAAAAACATTTTTATATAAACAGTTTTATATAAAAAATGTTTTATATAAACAGTTTTATATAATAAAAATTTTATATAAACAGTTTTATATAAAAAAATTCATTTTTGTATTAACATCAGTTTGTAAAGTTATTATTTCAAAAAACAGTTTTCATACCCTTGTTTATATGAAAAACAGTATAATATTTTAAACAATTAAATTATTATAATTTCGAAAAATAGTATAATATTTTAAAAAACAGTTTAATATTTCAAAAACAGTTTTCATACCCTTATTTAACTTTATTTTTTTATCAATTTATTAAAAAACAGTTTTTTGTACTTAGAAGTATAACTTTTTTTTTTTAAACCGGAAGGCAAACCACCAAAATCAGTGGGGTATATGCCGGGAGTCATATACCGGGATATTATTAATGAATCAATGAATTACAAAAGGAAGGGGACTAGGCCAAAACTTCCTTATCAAAAATAAGAGAAAAACAAACTAGCCTAAAAACGGAAAGAAGGAATACCAAAAAGGTCCATCCAGTAGGCCCGTTTGGCATGAACCGGTAAAGAACTTGGGCTCTCTAGAAATATAATCTGACTGAAATGGGCCGCCGCCATGTGATGGGCCACCCAATTACAATCCCTGTACACGTGAGAGAAGGTTACCTGTTTCCTAATCGCTAGGTGAGCGGTTTCCTGAATCTCCCCTTTCCATCTCCTCGTCTCCCTTCCGGCTAGATAATCCAATGCAACCTTACAGTCCGACTCAACCAAGAAGTCCGAGAAACCCCTATCGATCATCCATCGAGTTGCTATGACAATGGCTTTCAGTTTTGCTTCCAGCGCAGAGTTCGCGTCTATCGGAAATCCCACAGCTAAGAGCATCTTGCCGCTAGCATCACGTAAAATAGCCCCTCCGAAGGCTTTATCAGATAAGTAACTGGCGTCCACATTAAGCTTATTCCTTTGATGTTTTTGCCATTTGATAATCTGAATGTTTGGTCGATTAATCATGAAATTGTTTGGTATAATATGTTCTTCCTTTAATATGCTCCCAACGGTCCTTATCTTATCCTTTGATAAAAATTTTACCCAGCTTTGCGTGTATATCTTGATCTGAAGTATAATTTGTTCAGCTGAGTGCCCAACGTCCCCTGTACCCCAAACCAGGTTGGAGTATGTTTTCCAAAGAAACCAACATACAATGCCAAATATGTTATGAATGAAAACACCAACCAGATTAGTAGAGCTTGATTTAGGCCTCCAATATTTGAAAGAAGTATAGTCCTGGCCAATAGGAATGTAAATTCCAAAAATCCCAATGAAATATTGCCAAACCCTTCTAGCAATGTAACACTTGTAAAAAAGGTGGTCTAATGAATCACTAGCTCTTCGACATAAAGGACACATAGAAGGATTCAAAACAATATTAAGCCTTCCTAGAGTATCAGCTGTAGGAATTATGCCCTTTACAATCTTCCATTGAAGCAGTTTAACTTTTAACTCCTGTTTAGAATCCCAAATGTTCTGATAAATTGAGTGATTGAAAGATACCTCTCTTACCTCTTCAAAAGCAGATCTGAAAGAGAAATGTCCATCATGCTCTTCATTCCAGATGAGACTTCCACTATCATCACAGGAAACAAGAGTATTAGCCAGGTCATGAATACTGCATATCCTTCTCCAAATGGTGGAATCAGTTACTCTGGGTATCATATTGTCCCCTCTGGAATATTTAGATTTGATAAACTTAGCCCAAAATGAATCTTCTGTCCTCCATTTCCACCATAATTTAAGAGTGAAGGCCTTCTCAATGTCAGTTAATGACCTGATCCCCAATCCTCCTTCCAAATTAGGTAAACAAAGTTTAGACCACCTAATCCAATGATACTTCCTCTTGTTATTAGAAGATCCCCAAAAGAAAGAAGACGTTTTGCAATTGAGGATCTTAACAACCTTCTTAGGTAGCTTATCAACAGCTAAAGTATGCATTGGAATAGCATTCAGGACATGCTTAATAAGGATGAGTTTTCCACCCTGAGAGAGATTTTTCTGTTTCCAGGGAGTTAGTCTCTTCTCAAATTCATTTATAATGTGAACACAGTAGTTAAACCTATTGATACCTTTATGCAGATTCACACCTAAGTATTTAATAGGGAGGGAAGAGACCTTCATTTCCAGGATATTTTTAATGACATTAATCCTTCTGGAAGCTGACTTGCCACATATAATTGAGCTTTTGCAAAAGTTAATTTCCTGACCTGAAGCTTTTTGATAGTCCTTAAGAAACTTCTTGAAAAGAACCAAAGACCTAGCCTCACCATTAAGAAAGATGAGCAAATCATCGGCAAAACCTAGGTGTGAAATAGGCAAGCCCTGCTTTCCCATCCAAAAAGGCTTAATCCTGCCATCTGCCACCATCTTGTTCAAGCCTCTAGAGAAGACTTCTGATGCAATAATGAACAAAAAAGGGGAAAGGGGATCCCCTTGTTTGACACCTCTAGTGGGTTTGAAAAAGCCATGAGGGGAGCCATTAATGAGAACAGATAGAAAGGTAGCCTGTAGGTTGTTCATAATAAGATGTACTAACTGAGTAGAAAACCCAAACTGAGTCATGACCTGGGATAGAAATTCCCAAGAAACTTTGTCAAAAGCCTTAGCCATGTCAAGCTTGACTATGACATTAGAGCCTCTTACCTTCTTGTCTATACAATGAACCATCTCTTGTGCTATAAGAATCTGATCAGCAATGTCTCTTTTAGCCATAAATCCTGCTTGCTCCTGAGAAATAATCTTGGGTAACACTTGCTTAAGTCTTGTAGCCAGAACCTTAGTGCAGATTTTGATAGTAAAATTGGACAAACATATAGGCCTGAAGTCACTAAAGGTAGAAGGATTATCTGATTTAGGAATAAGAATAATCTGAGTGCTGGAGAAGCCTTTAGGAATATGTTGCCCCATAAAAAAGTCCTGAGTTGCTCTGAGAACATCCATACATACAATTGGCCAGCATTTTCTATAAAATTTACCATGGAAACCATCCGGGCCAGGGGCACTGTTCTGACTTAACTCCCATACAGCATTCCTCACCTCTTCTAGATTTGGAATCTGAGTGAGCATAAAATTATCCTCCTGAGTGATTAACTGGGGAATGTTAGACAGTAACTCCATATTCATATCTATTTTTTGTTCTGTGTACAGGTTAGAGAAGAAGTTGACTGCAGCTGTCCCAATTTCCAAAGATGAAGTGGCTAACTGATCATTCTTATCCTTAATGGAGGTAATGCACTGCTTTCTTTTTCTTATCTGCACAAAAGAGTGGAAAAAGTGATTATTGTTATCCCCTTCTTTCAACCAATGTAGATGAGCCTTTTGTTTCCAGAATTTTCTCTCCAATTTATATTTCTGAGTCAAAAGCCCCTTTTTGTGAAACCAGCTTTCCCTGGTAGTATCATTAGGGTTATTCTGGAACTCCTTTTCTGCCTCCAACACCTCATTTTCACACCTTTTGATCTCATCAAATATATTCCCGAATATCTCTTTGTTCCAAACCTTAAGTTCTTTCTTTAGAGCCTGCAATTTATTCACCAATCCCCTCATACCTCCTCCTGTCTGAATAGCAGCCCACTTTTCTTGAACAAAGCCCATAAAAGAATCATGCTTCACCCACATATTTTGAAATCTAAAAGCCTTCGGACCAATTAAACCAGTGTTAGAACACTGTGTAAGAATAGGACTATGATCAGACTGTGAGCTATTAAGAATAGAGACTTTAATGGTATCAAAGATATCCAGGAACTGTTTATTAAATAATACTCTATCCAATCTTCTCCAAACTCTCCCATTTGCTCTATTTCCTGTCCAGGTATATTGTGGCCCATCATAGGGAAGATCAACAAGACTACAGGCTGATATGCAATCTGAGAACTCAGTCACCCCTCTAATAACTGGTAAAGACTTTCCTTTATGCTCACTATATTTAGCAATTTCATTAAAGTCCCCTCCTACGATCCAAGGACCTTGATTATTTTGTGATATGTTGATAAGAGCATCCCAAAGTTGCCTTCTAATAGTGTAAATATGCCTGCCATACACCCCAGTAGCCCAGCCTGTATATTGATTGCTATGTATCTTGCAGTGAACAAATTGAGTGTGCCAAGTGAAATCAGAAAGAGTCATTGTATTGTTATCCCAAAATACCCAAATTTTGTTAACATCAGAACATGTTGCCCCATCTAAACCCAGAACTTTCTTATAATTATCAATTTTGGAACAGTCTGCCATTGGTTCAATAACAAACAAAATATGCACCCTCCATTGTTTAACCAGGGAATGTAGCCTAGAACTGGAGGATTCCAGGCCCCTGGTGTTCCAGAATAAACAATTCATGGAAACCTAGGTTGGGCCGCCTGCCCCCTAGCCACACTCTTGGTATTCATCTTCATTTGATTATCCTCGACTGCTTTCTTCTTTTGCCTTTTCTTAGTGACCTTGGTAAAATTTTCTTCATCCTGCTGAGTTTCAGCAGTATCTCCAGGGTCAATACTACTCTGAACATGATTATTTATCGGCTGCAGGTCTACCTCCCTTTCTTTCTGTTTGACAATAAAGTCAATACCCTTGCAAATTTGAGGCCAATCCTCAAGAAAAGTCTCTGTATTAACAGGTATGTCCTTCTCCCCATCAGAAAAATAATCCCTACTCACCTTAACAGGATCTTCATCTAATATTTTATCAAGCTCCTGAATAAAAATATCATCTTTAATACCTTGAATGTCCTTAGGATCTGAAAGAGTAATACCTGATATATTTGATTTAAGCAACTCCCTAATTTGAGTTTTAATCTCCATGGCAGGCTGATCCAAGGGATCCAAAAAGACCTCTTCCTCATCTTCTGAAGAAATCTCATCAATAAGACCTCTGGAAGTAGATTGTATATTAGCTTCTTTATGCTCAATAACTTTCTCCTTCCCTTTTTGTTCCCATGTTAATTTTGGAACCTTCTTAGATGTATGCCCCTGATCTGTTTTATGCTTTCGTCCCTGAACTGCAAGCACTCCTTCTACATGCTTCTTAGGACATTTCTGCTGCACATGTCCTAAGTGTAAACAAGCCGTGCAATAATCAGGCCTATTTTCATAGACCACAGACTGAGAAAAACCTGACGAACCACAATTAATCCAGACCCTATGGGGCATCTCCTTAGTGAGATCAAGCTCCACACAAATTCTAGCCACTGCAGGCCTTGAAAGATTTGCAGTTGCTGAATCAGTCTTCACTGGCTTACCAATAAGCCTGGCAATATCAAAAAGAGCGCGTTTGTCCTGTAAATGAATAGGCAAACCCTCCAATGAAATCCAAACCGGAACCACCGGGGATTCAACATTAGGCCTGAAATCTGGAGTCCACCTAGTCACACGCATGATATGTCCCTGAATAGACCAACTTTGTCTATTCCAGCACCTAATGAAATCTTCTTCCATCTCAAAGCGAATCAGCACATGTTTAGGATCAAGAACTCCAAGATGAAAAACCCCCTTGAAACCAATTTTTTCAAAAGCCTTGCGGATCACCAAAAGACTTGGCTTTCCTTTGTAAAAATATCCGATCAACGCAAGTTTGTGCTTATCCGCTAATAAGCCAATTTCAGCATCAGAAAAACTGATCGCAGGCATCCCCTTGTAGCGAGTAGCAGTTTTTTCCATCAAGGGTGCAGGTCGATCTGCCACCACATCGGCAAACGATTTACGAGACCAAGCACGGCCAACCCCAGGTGGCGGAGCCACCGCCGAAGAAACTGCCGTCATTCGAATTCGAGTACAGAATCCATATATATGTTCACAAATAATTACGTACAAATGTTCGCCTCTGGTATAGTTTGGCTCAATTCGAAGTATAACTTTTTTATCAATTTCGAAAAACAGTTTTTATATTTTATATACTGAAAACTGTTTTTAACTTCTAAATTAATTTTTTATAATTAACATGTTAAACTTTTTTGAAAGTTTAACATGATGGGCTTTTTTTTAAATAATTCGACAGAATAATTTTGATAGATAAAAACATAATAATAATCCTAATAATGTAAAAAATATATTAGGACATAAGAGCATGCATTATTCAAGAAATAAGTCCGAACATATACTAATTATAATCCCTATAATAATTACATCTAACAAATTTCATCATATGCATTCGAATAAAAATTCAACAAATAGAGCATGCATTATTCAAAAAATAAGTCCGAAAAAAAAGAGCATACATACGCATTCGAATAAAAAAGCTTACATATAAAAATTCAACAAATAGAGCATGCATTATTCAACTAATTGAACAGTTGAAATATGCATTTGAGTATATACATCATGTGTTCGGATATATTAAAAATAGATCCGAATTATTTAAAAATTTAACATGCATTATTAAAGAGAGTAATTGATTTAACATGCATCATTTAAAAATAGATCCGAATTATTTAACAATGTAACATTCATTATTTAAAAATAGATCCAACTAATTTGAGTATTCAACATGCATTTTTTAAAAATTTAAAAAAATTTATAATTAATTATTGAAATACGAAAAAATAGGAGTTGAAAACATAACCTTGATGGCGGCAGAAGGCGGAGACCGGCGTTGTTGAAAGCGGCGGTGGCGCGGTAACGGCGGTGGTGATCCGGGGAAGAATCGAAGAGGGAGTAAGGAGTTGAAGAGAGAGTTTAGGGTTGGGAGAGAATGGAATGAAAAAATTCGCTAAGTGTTGATTTTATATATCGGTGTAGTCACGGACTTAGTCACGGATAAATCCGTGACTAATCCCTTCGTATTCAACGGAATCAGTCCGCGGCAGACGAGGTGTCAGGGCCGCATTTGACCAGCGTAGTCACGGTCGAATCCGTGACTACGGCCGTGACTAAATTCAAAATTTGAATTTAGTCACGGCCGTAGTCACGGATTCGACCGTGACTACTGTTTTTTAGTCGTTCTCTCAGCTCATCGGGCAGGCCGGCGATAGGGAATAAATTCGATTTGTCACGGACCAATCCGTGACAAATCCGTGACTTTTTTTTGTATAAATAAGTGATGCCCGGTCCAATGTTTGTGTGGAAAATAAAATGGCTAATCGAGCACCAATTGACTGGGATTCGATGAGTAGAGATATGAAACGACTTAAGCTAATTACACAGCTTATGGAGCCGAAAACCGTTGAAGCATACGAGAGAATCAGGGAGTTGATGTCTAGACCCCTTGAAAGTTTTGGCGACTATAAAGATGAGGAATCCGACTCAATCGGCAAGTCAAAAGCAAAAAACTTGTGTTGGATGCTTCAACGTGCAGAAGAATGTTCGGAGTATATGGACCCGATCAACGAAGAAGCTCGAAGGAAAATTAACGAGTTGTGGCCTCTTGAAAGTTTTGTCATTGATGAATAATTCTGTATTTGTTTGTTTGCTTATGATGTATGAATCATGTTAATTACGTTATTCTGACAAATAAATTGTGTGTTTCATACTTATTTTTTAAATTTGATAAATAAATCTGTGTTAGTTGTTTATTAATATCTGAATTTATTATAATATTCAGATTATTAAAAGTAAATTAATTTTTTTTGAAAATCCGAATTTTGATAATTTTGTATATTTACAATTATTAAAATTAGTTTTCGAATTTCGAATTATTAAAAGTATGGAGTAATTTTCGAATTTTTTTTGAATTGTAAATTAATTTTTTTTTTATTTTTCGAATTTTTTTTATATGGATATAATATGGAGTAATTTTAAATTTCGAATTATGGAAATTTTAATTTTCAAAATTTGAATTATTAAAAGTATATTTCGAATTATATAATATGGATATAAAAAACTTGTTGTTGTTGAATTAATATGGAGTAATTTTTATTTAACAAATAATAATGATGAAGAAAAAAAATCAAATATTGTTGGAGTAATATAATGATGAAGAAAAGAGCACAAATATTCGAAGTCAAAAAAATTGAAATTACAACAACGCAATTACTCGCTGTCAGAATCGTTATTTTCTACATATACAGCGTCTTCTTCTGTATCAGAACCGTCTATCCATTCTACTTCTTCCTCATATTGAGCATTTTGTTGTTCTTCATGCATTTGAACAATTTCACGCTCAGATGGAGGTGTTAGGTCCGGAAGGTGCGTTTCTGGCATGACTTCAACACTTCCGCCATTTGGATCACTTAATTGAATGTGATGGTTGACCGTCTCAACAATAGGCGGAGGTTGGCAAAATTGTTGCTGAAAAGTATCTAAATCAACGTCCTTGTGTTAAGGTTGTGATACAATTTCGCTCGGACGGACAATACATTCACACACCCAAGGATTCTGTGTCCGCCTGGTTGAAGGGTATTCTGCATAATAATCCTAGGCTGCTTGTTGAGCGAGTATAAAAGGCTCAGTTTTCCTATACAAGCGAGAGTGGTTGACGTCAATCATATTATACTTTGAATTTTTTCTCACACCATGCGTTGGATCGACCCATTTGCAGCTGAACAAAACGCATGTCAAATTTTTCCCAGCAGAAGGCATTTCAAATTCGAGAATGTCATGCAAGACACCAAAAAAATTGGATTCCAGTTATCATAACCGATGGTTGGGACACATAACCCATTGTTCACTGTTGGTCGGCCCTGTCCGTAATTGACTGTGTGATAGTTGTAACCGTTTATCACATATGACCCCCAAACTTTGGCGTAGACACCAGGGCCCCATAATAATGCTACTAACAGAGGGTCTGCAATCCCACGGCTATTGATCTGTAAAATATAACATGATAACATTGGGTAATTATTACAAATTACGGAGTATTACTTAATAATATATATAATTAATGTGTGTGTGTATATACCTGATACTTGTACCACAGTACAAAATCAGAGTCCACCATTGCATCAATTTCATTATCAGGGAATACTGAGAGCTCCGCTCTAAATTCACCGTGAAGTCAAACATGAAAATATTATAAATCAACTATCTGATATAATTGTATATATATTACAAACACAACTATTCAGGTCCGGCCAGGCCGGACCACTCCCCCCGTCCGGCCTCCTCCATTTGGGGGTCTTCCCGGTGGTATTTTTTGCTCAATTTTTTTGTGTAGGTTCCTCATCAAGTCTAGTTCATCCATACCAAATTTCAACCAACAATTCAATTGGGAAGGTTGTCAAATGATTTTTGCAAGTTAACTGTTCCGGAATATGTATTTTCCGGACCAGTTAACTTGCAAAAATCATTTGACAACCTTCCCGATTGAATTTTTGGCTGAAATTTGGTATGGATGAACTAGACTTGATGAGGAACCTACACAAAACATTTGAGCAAAAGATACCACCGGGAAGGCCCCCAAATGGAGGAGGCCGGACGGGGCTCCGGTCAGGTATAACTGACCGGAAGAGTACTCATATTACAAATATATATATACAAATTTAACTTACTGATAAAACGGTAAGATTTCTGGACAATTCATGAGGATATAAGTATGCGCAATTTGTAATTCCCCACCCACGACGTATCGGTGTGTCGCAGCTCCTATACCTCTACCTGGGTAATTGAAAATGGAAACTACATTTTCGTATAAATCCTCGCCAATGTCATCGTTCCGGGCAGGTCTCTTTCTTCTAGTGATGACTTCATGCTCAAAATAAAAAGATGAGAATGTTGAGATTTCTTGTTGAAGATATGCTTGACAAATTGAAGCCTCAACGTGTGCCTTGTTGGTCACTTTCTTTTTCAACTCTCCAAGAAACCTGCAATGTTGGTAAAATCAAGGTGGTAAACAGATTAATGTTGTTATGAAATAAATATTCAAAGATAAATGAAATTGTGACTAACCTTTCAAATCTGTACATCTAGCGATAGAAGACGGGGCCAGCAGTCAAAGTGCAAATTTTGTCACCACTCATAATATAATCCGGGTGTTCAAGTGCAAATTTAATAAACTCCCCACATCCCTCGAGGAAATTTGATTGCATTCCATACAATACCGCATTTTTATCATACATCCAACTTCTATTTTGCCTATACATTATGCCTGAATATTATAATAATAAAAAATATATTGGTTAAAAACTTTAAATCATAAACATTATCAACAATTTGTTATGTTAAATATTTTCACTAATTCATACGTAGGAGCATTAATATATTCAATTTTACCAAAGTTCAATGCACTATAATTACATAACGTTCAATTAATATTATTAAATAACTATATCTACTAATACGTTAATGACATTAATCATTTAAATTATTAACTAATAATCAATACATTAACACTAAAAATCAATATTAGGGTTTTAACACTAAATACACTAAAAATTCATAAGCATTAACAATAATTTGATATGTTTAGGAACATTTATTTATTAAATTTCACTAAATTTCACTAAAATTAACTAACGTCTAATGAATATTATTAAACTACAAACAATATGTTAATGACATTAATTCACAATACAAAAATTTTCAAAATCTAATTAATAATACACAATAAACAATTTACTAAATTAAATGAAATTCACAATACTAAAATTATCATAATCTAATTAATAATACACAATAAACAATTCTAAACTAAATGAACTTCAAATAATTCACAATAACAATTCACAAAATCTAAGTAATGTTTTAATCAAAACTTAACCCATTACAAATCCTAATTTAGGCATTAACATTAATTGCTAATAATAAAATCTAATAATTTGAACATATATATATACCCATTTGAATTAACTAATACTTAAATTTAACTAATATTATAAAAAATTTAAGTAATTTAACACTACATTTAAATTAATCCTACGTTTAGGACATTTTAACTAATTCATTTCGTTAATTAATTACCAACCTTTTTTACACA